ATCACATGTGATGAGGATCGGATAATCCTTCAAGTAAAAGATCCGTCCCTACAACGGTTGGACTCAAACAAGAGCTGCGCAGTAGGGCCAGTTCCAGCACTCTGGGATTATTCAAACCTGATTACATGTGGTGTAACGTGTCCACCTAATGGCTAACTCCCATTACTCGGAACCCACCAAGCACAAAGCAAGCAGCATTCGGATAAGGGAAACAGACTCAAGCAAACTATTCTTATAACAAGAAACTGTACTAGCATAGGATGCTAAGCTCATACTATCAGGCATAACCTAAACAGGCTATCCTACTGCTGTCTACTCAATAGCATGCATATTCATAAAGCTGTAACACATAAGCAGGCACATAAGGCATTCTCTTCCTGTCCTATACTAGCATGCTGTTCTACTAAAACTGAAATTGAACAAATAACTTGTATGAGTAATTTGGGAGTACTTACTTGAGCTCGGTTGACCGCATGCACACACCTCTATCTTGTTTTAAAAAAAATCTTCCTTTCTAAGTACTTTCAAAATTATTTTTATAAAACGTTTTTATTTTATTAAAATATTTTATTTCCCCTTAGTTTGAGTTCAGATACACCCGAAAGTGTATCCGAATCCCTCAAACCAGGGCTCTGATACCAACTTGAAACGACCCAAAAATACGACCCAAAAATTTTTGTTTTTAATATAATCAAAACTGAAATCAGAGTATCATATAAATAAACCATGCGTGATATGTTCCAAAACATAATAAAATTTGTGCGGAAAACTGTATCATACTACATCAAATCAAACAACTAAATCAATCCCAGGCTAAAGCTGAGGCGGTGGTGGGTGCGATGCCGTCACCCCGAGCTCTTCCCTTTGCTTGCGGAAATACCTGAAACCAAAACTGAAACTGTAAGCACGAAGCTTAGTGAGCTCCCCCAAATTACCACATACCATACAATAACATATAAACACATATTGGGCCTTGCCCACTGCATCGGGCCGAGGCCCGGAAACTGCATCGGACCGAAGTCCGGAACTGACTGGGACCTTGTCCCCTGCATCGGACCAAAGTCCGGAACTAGCTGCATCAGACCGGAGTCCGGAACTAGCTGCATCGGACCGGAGTCCGGAACTAGCTGCATCGGACCGGAGTCCGGAACTGACTGCATCGGACCGGAGTCCGGAACTGACTGCATCGGACCGAAGTCCGGAACTGACTGGGACCGTGTCCCCTGCATCGGACCGAAGTCCGGAACTGACTGAGCATAGCATAGCATATCATAACAAATATACTGCATACTGCATCGGGCCGTAGCCCGGAACATAAAACACATAACACATAGCGGATAAATCATGTCTGAACCACGAAGGCATCAAACATACTAACTACTACATCGGACCGAAGTCCGGAAACTACTACTAACTGGACGGGCCGGCATTGTGGCCTTAGACCCGTCCCTACTGGAAGGAAACTCACCTCGTAAGCTAGCGGATGAGTGTGTGGCTCGGAAAGCTAACGGCTGCTGCTCCTGAATCTCCTCGGCTACAAATCCATAAACACACTCAATCAATACTAACACTACACTCGGGGTAAAATGACTCTTTTACCCTTGGTCAAAGTCAACTTACTCAGGGCTGACTCGCCGAGTCGGGATACCCAACTCGCCGAGTCCTAGTCTCACCTCTCAGCTCTTACACGCTGACACTCGTCGAGTGTGGCATCGACTCGACGAGTACCCTCTGGATCCAAGAACTCAGATGATCTTCATCCGACTCGCCGAGTCGTATGAACAGACTCGACGAGTTGTTCTTGATCCCAGAAGATTGCCTTGGACTCGCCGAGTTGTATGAACAAACTCGCCGAGTCCCTCCATCACTGAGTCTACTCTCAACTCGCTGAGTCCACTCCCTAACTCATCTCGTCCACTCGACACTGATAAAACTGAAGAACTCGGGACTCGCGACCCGACTCGTCGAGTCGTTCTTCCGACTCGCCGAGTCGCCGCCATGCAACAGATTTTTACTCGATTTCTCTTGAATCCAACACATGCAAATGATAGATCTGGGTCCAATAAGCTGTGTTACCACGTAAAGTTTCCAACTTTACGTGCACAACCTCATGAATAAGGGAAATAAGGCTAAAAGATGCACAACAAGAGTAGATCCATGGCTAATATGCAATGTAACTCCAAAAAGACAGTAGATCTGGGCTCTACAACACCCCAACACTCAGATCCAAAGGTATTTCGACTTATTAAGACATTCATGCAAACATAAGGCTTGGAACAAACATCAAATAGCTCTTAGAAGAGCTCTAATGGAAGTTTAAGCATATAACCAGAAGGGAACTCCGAAAATACCTCAATAAACTCAGATTTGACCTTGGATCTTTGCACCACAACTCGTTTCCTTGCTTCCTTCTTCTTCTCCTTCTTCACACCTTCACAAAAATGGCACCAAATCACTTATAAGCTCTCAAGGGAGGATTAGGGTTTTCTCACTGAGTTCTCAAGGTGAAAGTGGCGAGAATGAGGCTATAATGTGGTTTAAATAGTGGGCAAACCCGAGGATTTAGGGTTTCACCCAGACGGACGGACTTGCCGAGTCCGGGATATGGACTCGCCGAGTCGCCGGCTCCCGCGTGCACAAAATACGCGACCCAACTCGGCGAGTCAGGCTAGAACTCGCCGAGTCGCTCCTGAAAATTTAGACAATTGACAATTTATTAACATACCGGGAATGGGTCGTTACACATATATAAGTAAAAAAGAAGCCGGTGGCACCATCCTCATGCGATTTCACTGTTCATCAGCTATAACAGCCACATATGCCAACCCACAAAATCATCGGCTTGAAACATGTACTCTAGATAAGCAATAGATGGTGAATGAAAGAAATTAGGGTTTGTGAGAGTTTGTGTGATCGGAAAGAACAACGGGATGGGGAACACATTACCAGCAGAAGGCTGTAGAAGTTGGTTGGTTATCACTGTTGTTCTTCGTGTTGTTCTTCGTCTTCGTTTTTTTGGTGAATGAAAGCAAGCAGAGGGGGGAATCGGTGGAATGATGGAGCGCCAGTGTAAGTTGTTGCTTCTTCCTTCTTCCCTCTTAATCTCCCCCAATCTCTACACCTTCAAATGTTTCTCTGATTATCTGAGACATGATCCAAAAAATTCAAGAGAGGACAGAGATACATAAGTCAAATGTAACGTCCATTTGTGTAGATTGAGGGTTTTAGAGATAATGGAGGGTGCGATTTAGGGAATTGGGAAGAATGCGATGAAGAAGGAGGCGGAAGGTGGAATCGATTGGCTGTAATAGAAAGGGATATAGAGAGAACAATCCAGAGAATGAAGAAAGACCGAAAGAGACGAAGAGTCGAGTATATGGGGATATTTCCAAGCAATCAAAGGCGGTGCTGTTCGTATGTAATTGGAAACAGCAGGAGGTGGGGAGCAGACCATAACAGATAGCCGTGAAGAAGAACAACACTAATCTTAATCTCATTGGCTTACAAAGGCGGTGAAGTACAAATACAAATACAAAGAAGACGTGAAGTACAACTCCAATTTCAAAAATATCTAAAAGGCCCTGAAAAAAAAAAAAAAAAAAAAAAGATCATATACAAATACCTAGGGACCAATTATGCCAATCCCTTAGCTATTTTACTGTAGCTAAGGGTGGAGAACTTTAATCTATAAATCTATAGTATAATATTACATTATTCAGATTTCATATGTTAAAGTTACCCCCCCCCCCTTCTCTCTCTCTCTTAAAATATTTTACTATGTCTCTATAGTTTGCTGGTCTTGAAAATTACCATTTTCCATATTAAGCGATGGACTTATTACGAATGTTCATTTCTTAATACCTATATTTAAGTGTAAAATTGGCCAGGTTGTAACGAACTTATTTTCAAGCCTACAGAGATTGATGTTTGATTGTTTGAGTTGATGATTGATTGTTTGGTGCTTTAACATCATAAACCATTGTGTTTACCCATGGTACAAAGGTTGATGTTTGTATATGATTGGTGCTTTAAGCCTTTAACATCATCAAACTAGTAGGTTTCTCCACTCAGAAATGGTACAAAGGTTGACGTTGATGTTTGTACATGATTGGTGCTTTAACATCATCAAACCATTGGGTTTTTCCACTCAGATATGGTAAGAAATGGCTGCACTATCTCTTATAATAAGCTCGATAACATTCTAAATAGTTGGATGTGGTAGCCATATTTTTTCAATCGTGTTTTTTCCTAGCATTCATGGATATGTGTTGTGGGTTCATTGACTTAGATATTTATACACAGAAGATTTATGTGTGTTGGGTGAAAATTGAAATCTAATCATCGTTGATTTGTGAAAAGCTTGAGGATTGGATTTGCAGAGACAACTTGTTGTTGCCAACATTCTAAATGTCCATATGAGATGCGCGTTCAACATATAGTTTATTCATTGTTATCCAATAGAAAACAAACGATACACCAACCAATAAAAAACCATGTAATCCGAGACATTACATCTCCCAAAGTCTTAAGACTCAAACTATATGTTCATAATCATAAAATTAACTGCGACTACTTAAGCGATTGAACATAAACTAGTTTCGCAAGAAATAAATGATACTTACTGGCAAGATATTAGCGAGCTTAATATTTGAAAATGTGATATCGCTAATTCGCAAAAATGATTTCACGTGATTCATGGGTGTTTTTTGTAAAATAAAATAAATTGGGCTTTTGTGTAGAATCTATAATGGGTCTCCCATGTAGATTTTATTAGTTAATAACTTTTTTTATTTTTTTTTATTTTTATTACTTGTGGATTCAAAAGTCAACATTGTACTATGTTTATTTCTTTAAAAACAAATACAACTGAAACTGTTGGCCACTTAAATTGGAAAAAAAATACGTCATATTAATCTATTATCCAATAAGCTAAAAAATATAAAAAAATTAACGACTGTTAACAGCTGCAAAAATACTGGGTACTTCCAATATGTATTCTCTTAACTTGTGATACTCATTGGCAATCCCTCTAATTCCCATCCCCATACATTCGATTGGAAATCAAAATCCCATATATTCAGATTCGATTCAAATTGATCGCAAGATGATGCATAATCATTCCCCAATTCCAGTTCGTTCGAGAATCCTTGGTCATTCCCCGATTCCTTTACGTTCGAGTATCCTTGGAGTAAAATCATGAGTCTCTGAGACATTTCCTCTGTTTCAATCTATATCCACAGTCAAATCAACTATTTTAGAAACAACGATGATAAAAGCAGATCAAGTAGAAGAAATCGGGGTTTATGGTAACGGGATTCACCTTTTTGTGGCGGACATGGAAGGTAGAATGGCCGGAGCTCGAAAAATTTGCGAGGGCTACCTCACTGCTATACTGATCAAGTAACCGGACAACGTCATAAAAATCCGATTGAGTATTCAATCCAGTTATCAAAACAACATCAAGATCTGGACTCATTTCGTGGATCTGAATATCAATTGATTTGGATTTGTTGCTATTCGTGCTCTCGTATGATCTCTTCTTTGTACTCGACAACTGTTCCTTCCTGATCTGGCTCATCTCCAAGCTCGATTTCAAGCTTTGAATGTACTCAATCGTTCGATCCACTCGATCCGACACTTGGTCACCTCCCTGAATACAAAAAAGAAGAAGTTATAATCGGTTTCAGATTAACGACCAAAACGATTTGATGAGATATGAAGATGTGAAGAAGAAGCAATTCAAGTGATTAAAACCTTGGAGATGAGATGAAGAGGGATGAGAGAGAAGAGACGGGAATAGAGAAACTTCATTTGGTTCCTTCTGATCTTTTCTGTTACTTTCCTTTCTGGTTTCTTCATGTTGCCCCTCTCCATGGTAAAATCTCATACAAAGTTGCGAATAACAAATAATATTTTGAAGTTTGAACTAAGTTATATATATAATACCATAAATGGAGGTGTGTGTGTGTGTGTGTGTTTTCATTACCATGTAGGTTTGAAAAGGGAAAGCCAGAAGAAAAAGGGGGCATCTGGCATGTCGTTGTCAAGAGGAAGAAGATGAAGGAACGATGTAATTACAAGTGACGTCGCCTTTCTTTCATCATCACTCGTCATGTTCATATGTCATGAGTCATGTGTTTGCTTTTCTTTTTCAAAGTGGAAGATGGAATCAGATTTCAACCTCAAAAATGGCTAAAAGAATAATTTCGCTCAAATATTCAAGCATCTTTGTGAAAAACTTATATATATAAACATTTGGTGATTCTATTCTCACCCGTTTGTATCTAATTCTCACTTTTATTCTGTAAATAAATACTTTTTAATTATATATTGTGTATGACTAATATAAGAACTAATAAATACTTTTTAATTATATATTGTGTATAAGAACTAATATAAGCCTTTTTTTTTTATCAATAGCCAAAAAAATGATTATTTACATAAAATGGTCATTATTGTTTATTTTGGTTTAGTTTATGGAAAAAGGGTTATAGATAGCCACAAAAGGGTTATATCATAAAATAATAATTCTCGCTCATATATTCAAGCACTTTTTGACATTTATATATAAACATTTAGTGATTCTGTTCTCATCCTTTGTATTTGATTCATGCTTTTATTCAATAAATAAATATTTTATTAATAATATATTATGAGTGATGATAAGATGGTGGAGACCCTACACAATCCAAGTATCATAAGAGTTAAACTTGAATTCAATAGATTATATATATATATATATATATATATATATATATATATATATATATATATATATATATATATATATATATATATATATATATATGTGGTTCAATTGAGAAAAAAAAAAGGTTGAGAATGGGGGAATCATTCTCAGCCACTCATTTATTTTTACCGCAAAAACCTCCGTCGTACCAGCAGAAATGGGAAAAGAATAGACATGTGTTTTCGAATAAAACACGTTTCCTTAAACTATGGTAATCATTACCTTAATCTATACAAAAACATAGTTTTTTCGATTTTTTTAGTTTTTAAGAATATATTTTTATCGAAAAATGATTTTAAATATACCAAAATTCATGATTTTTTATTCTCTACAAATAGACATCCATATTGATATAGTTTTAAGATAAAATAATTTTTTTTATATTTTCAACTATCGTTATTCATAAGTGAATAAAAATGAATCAGATTTTTACTACAGTACATTCGTTATTCAGTTATGAATAAAAACTATGATTTTTTTTTTTTTTTATTATTATTTTTTTTTACAGTTTAAGTATCATTCATATATGAATATAGCATATAATAAACATAGTATATTCATATTTAAAGATTAGACGATGCATTCACTTATGAATATTACATAGTATATTCACTTGTGAATATTAGATGGTATATTCACTTATGAATATTAGATAATATTTTCATATCTGAATATTACATAGTATTACATGGTATCTCACATGTGAGTATTACATAGTATATTCATTTCTGAATATTAGATGATATATTCACTTATGAATATTACACAGTATATTCACATATGAATATTACAAGGTATTTTCACAAATATATATAATTTTTATATGTTATTCACATATGAATAACATGCAGACTTGCATATTTGGTTTTTTGTTTTAATAATCATATATTGAGAAAACATATTCATATATGAATATAACATGCTAATTTAGTTCATGCATTTCATCAAACAGTTGGAGTGCATGCAATTTAACTTTTTTTAAAAATGTTAGAAACATGATATTTTGACTATTTAAATCTACAAAATGGTAGACTGATAGAGAATTATATGAAATTTTTCAAAAAAAAAAAAAAAAACGATTTGATATTTTTCTAACCTCAATTTTCAAGTTTTATTTGATAATCGATGTTGAATGAATGATATGAAGTCGATTTTTGTTGATTATCGATGATGTTGATCTAATAACGCTAGGAGTATAATTAATCATAGATGTTGAAGATCTGATCGTATTCAAGCACAATTGAAGGTTGAATTAAAAGAACCAAAAACGAATTTTTGTTGTTAACTGTTGAATCGTGTTGATTATTGACGAAGATCGATGATTGATTAGCACTGGATGATGTTGATTATGGTTTAATTGAAGAAATCTGGATGATTGTTGAAAGTTGGAGAAGAAATTTGGATGATGAACGATGAATGAGTTTGAACTACAGATACGTATTTGAGATTGAAGGTTGTTCTTATATTTACAAGTTTGTCATCGTGTCTTTTTATGCTTGAATAAAATGAGTGGCTGAGAATGAATCCTCCATTCTCAATCTTTTTTATTTTCTCAATTGAACCCACCTATATATATATATGCGGTAAGAAATTTTTTTGGTAGGAAGGTAAGAAGTTTTTTTTGTACATATTTTTTGACAAATAAAATAAATGAATCACTAGATGATTTATCTGTAAGATGATTCACAAGAAAAAATTCCCAAAAAAAAATATTTATGATTCATTTTTAAGTAAATTAAGAAAAAATTCACTTTTATGACAATTTTAGTGAATAACAACAAAATTATTATATAAATGAATCATCGAGATGTTTTTTGAGAATTTTTTCTTGTGAATCATCTTACAAATGAATCATCTAATGATTCATTTTGTTTGTTCGCGAAAAAAATATGTAGGAAAAAACTTCTTACCTTCCTACCAAAAATTTCCTTCTTATTTGATCTTGACTCTCTCTCTCTCTCTCTCTCTCTCTATATATATATATATATATATATATATATATATATATATATATATATATATATATATATATAAGTGTCACATGATCATAATTTCCCTGTGATTGACTGATTTTTTTTCTTTTACTTTTATGCTTTCTTTTTTGTCCAATTTTATTTGTACAGTGGATTACACGTTCCCTTACAATCGCTATGTGTTAGGGTGATAGTGTATACATGTTTACCTCCACCGTTTTTTCTTTATTCGTCTCATGCTCTCTTCCACCTACACCAATTTCTTTCTTGAACCTTCCCGAAATCCCCCGATTTAATCAAATATCACCTCTCCACCGCCTTCTTGCCTTCATCGGTTTTAAAGGATAGATATCATTTCTCTCTCCATATTCGTTCCCGATATTCTCCACTGACTTCTCACCTTCTTCATTCTTCGCACGATTTTAGAGGTCGCCGACGTGCGTTGCTTCTATTAGCAGCGTTGATTCTGGAAAAGCTAATATAATGCTCTAAAATCACATCTAAAAAAATACCCAAATTAATTCTACAATGCAGAAGGTAAAAGAGTTTCTCATATGTTCTTTATGGGGATAATTTCATATATACCCCTCTTAAACTTGTAAATATCATATTTACCCAGTTTAATTTCTCAATATCATATTTATCCTTAATAAACTTTCAAAATATCATATTTGCCCAAATCATTTTTTATAATGTTTTTAATATGTTATAATTATTTTTTTATACCGTAGAATTATTATAATAATTAAAGATTTTAACCATGTTATCCTTACATCTATGATAATGGAATGTGAAATTCTAAATTATTGGAATGTCATTCTCTTGACAAACAAAAATATTCACATTCAACCCTCTCTATGAAATTTATATTTTGATTGTTTAGTTTTTGGTATTGTTGGTTATTATCATGTTGTAGATGGAGGATATTTTAGATATTTTCATTGATATTTTGATGTTCAAATAATACATATACGATATTTTGATATTAAAGAAGGGCATATATGATATTTTGATGTTTAAAAAGGACATATATGATATTTTGAAATTCTATGAAGGGTAAATATGATATTTAGTATTTTTATGAAGGGTAAATATGATATTTAGAAATTAAGTTGGGTAAATATGATATTTTGATGTTTAACAAGGGCATATATGAAATTCTTCATTCTTTATGTAACCTTAATTTCCTTTCTGTTTTTAATGTTGGAGTTAATCTACTAATCTGTTGGGATTTCGATCGTTTCAGGGGAACAACAAATCCATGTTTATTCCCAACAAGCCCTTCGCGTTCATATCTCTCCCTGCTCCACCTCCTTCCAGTTTCTCCCCTTTCTCTAAGATTGTGCATCATCAGGTAACATTTTTATCAAACCCACTAGCATTTTTTATTATGTATTTGCTCCATTTATGAGGTTTTACTTTGGTTGTTGTAAATTAGGGCTTAAAAAGCTTGTGATTTGGAAATCAATCCTTTGAGACTGTTGTATTTGAGCATGATTTAAATAACTCACTTGCTCTTGATTTCGACGAGAAAAACTGGCATGTAAGTTCCCATAATTGAACACCTTTTCGTTATGTTCTTTCTCATTATCAATTGTGATAAACCCACTTCCCGATAGTTGGGTTTTCTGATTTTGAATTTGGGTTTTTAATTTAGGAATTGGTGTTCGATGGGAGAATTGTGTTGGCTACGATAATAGGGTTCTTAGGTTCTGCATTTGGAATGGTGGGTGGTGTCGGCGGTGGTTTCATTTTTGTGCCTATGCTTACTTTGGTTGTTGGTTCCGATACAAAGTTCGCCGCTGCTTTTTCTAGGTGTATGCTCTGAAATCAAATCTGAACTATAATCCAGATTGGATTGATTGAATTCTTATGAGATTCTATTTAATTTTATGAAATAATCTTAATCTCTGATGTTTCAGGTATGATAATGGGAGCATCTGCTTCATCGTTTAGCTACAATCTAATAGTACAACATCCATATAGAGAAGTACCAATTCTGGATTATGATTTAGCCATGTTGTTTCAGCATATGCTCATGCTTGGAATCACACTTGTTGTTTCTCTTAGTGTTGTTTTTCCCTATTGGCTCATTGCACATGGCATAATGTTTTCTATCGGTAAATTCTTTTATTTTTTTGTGCTTAGTTTCATAAATTGAGGTTAGGTTTAACTTTAGCACTGAAATATTTCTACTTTATGATGATTACATATTAATTTATTTATATTATTATTGTAAAAGTTGAAACTAAGAACAAAAATTACTTTTGT